TGACCTCTAGATTCTGGAGTACCCTAAAGCTGAGCCACCTAATTTCTCTAACTCTCTTTTACTTCCAACTCCCGGTTTTGTTTTGGGTTTTTGTTTTGTTTTGCTTTTTGTTTTTGGTGAGACTGGGGTTTGAACTCAGGGCTTCACATTTGCAAAGCAGGCACTTTACTGCTTGAGCTACAGCTCACGTTTTACAACTCGTGGTTTTTAAATACCATCTGTGTATCGCCAGCCTGGTCCACTCTTAAGAGCTCCAGATTGACTTATCCAGCAATCTTTTTGATAACTGCATTTGGACATTTAATAGGCAACTCCAATTTAATCAGAACAAAACTAAACTCTTGATTTCCTTCTTTAGAGCTGTGCCTCCTATATCTTCCCTATCTCCATAAATAGAAATTGCATTCTTCCAGTGACTCAGGCTGACGACCTCAACTCCCCTCACATGCTACATGGAGTCTATCAGCAAATATTTCCTAAATGCCACCACACTGCTCCTCCTCCACTGCTACTACCTGGTCCAAGCCACTGTCCATCTGCTACCATGATCACTGCAACCATCTCCTAACCAGTCTCCCTTCTCCTGCCCTGGTCTCTCTCCATGTTCTGTTCTCCATATAATAGCAAAAGTGATACTTACAAAAGCTCAAATCGTGTTGCTCCTCTACTTGCAATGCTCCACTGTCTTTCCATCTCACTCAGAGGGAAAGTCATAGTCACTGGCCTCCCTCCTCCCCAGTCTCACATCAGTCTGCCTCTCTGGCCTCCATGCCATTCCTCAAATGAGCCCAGCGTGCTCCCACCTATGGGCCTTTTCACTTGCTGTTCCCTAGAACACTCTTCCCGTAGATATCTCTGTTCCATAGACCCTATGGCTCACTTTCTCACACTTCTTAGACAGGTCTCTGCTCAAATTTCATACTATCAAGAGGGGCTTCTCTCACTGAATCACATGAAATAGCAAACCAGATCCTGAACACTGACATCTATGACACTTATCACCACTGGGGACAGTAGTCCCCCTCATCCTTAGGGGATATGTTCCAAGACCCCTAATGAGTGACTGAAACTGCAGATAGCACTGAACCCTATATATCCTCTATTTTTCCTTTACACGCATTCTATAATAAAGTTTCATTTATAAATTACACACATTAAGAGCCCGACAATAACTTATGATAGAATTTACCAACTGTGGCTTATGAATTTTTTTCTTTTCTTATGAAGAACTTTCACCTGTTAGCCAGGTGCCCATGGCTCACGCCCATAATCCTAGCTACTTGGGAGGCTGAGATGATGAGGATCACAGTTCAAGGCCAGCCCAGGCAAATAGTACACAAAAACCCTATCTCCAAAAACATAACCAGAGCAAAATGGACCCCTTTATGACACCTCTTTGGCCTATCTTGTGCCTTGGGCTATTCATTTTCAAGAAAAATAAGAATTACTAGAACACAGTATTGCAATACTGTGACAGTGGACCTTATAACCAAGATTGTTACTAAGTGACTAAGAGACAGTAGGGTATGTGTACAACTTGGATATCCTGGACAAAGGGATGATTCACCTCTGGACTGGGACATGATGGAGACTTCATCATACTACTCAGAGCATCACTTAATTTAAGACTATGAATTTATTTGTGGAGTTTTCTATTTAACATTTTCAGACTGTGGTTGACCATGGGAAACTGAAACTACAAAAGGTAAAACTGCAAATGGGGTAGGGACTCCTATATACTACTTATATCCTAATATCCTTAAAGTTTATGAGAGCAGGGACTGTGAATGCACATATAGGTTGTACCATAAGTAAGTAAGCCCTTAATTATACATTACTTCTTTTTAGTGGTAGTATCATGAGCTGGTTTCTCCAACAAAACTAATTTATGAAAGACAGGAATAACATTTTTTTGGTTACTGTTGGGTTTTTTATTTGTTTTTGATATACTGAGGATTGAACTCAGGCCTTGAGCTTGCTAGGCTGACACTCCACCACTTCAGGCAATTCCCCAGCCCAGAAGTAACCATTTTATTTTGGTAATCTACAAAACCTAGCACAGTTCTGAGGCAAATGGACTAAGGAAAATGAATTTTATAAGAAAATGTTAGAGCAAATATTCATGTGAAAGGACCAGACATGATGGCTTACATATGTAATCCCAGCTACTCTAGAGGCATTTGAGAGGATTGGAGTTTGAGTCAGCCTGGGAAAAGTTAACATGAGACCCTATCTGAAAAACAAACTAAAAAAAGCAAAAGGACTGGGTGTAGGTCAAGTGGTAGAGGGCTTGCCTAGCAAGCATGAGGTCCTGAGTTCAAACCCCAGTACAGTTAAAAAATATACAACTATATGAGATCATGTTCAAACCTCCAATTTTTTTAAAAAGGTGAAGAATGAGCTCAGAGATGACTGACTACCATTTCCAGAATGGTAGGTTAAACCTGAATTTGTGAGCATTGTAACAGCGGCATAATGTCCATATACAGAACTTACATCCTTATCTATAGTTTGGAAACTGATGAGTCATTTTATTAACTCTGTAAAAGGTCAAGCCATTACCATGTCTCTATGAAAAGCAGACAAGCAAGACAGCAACCTAACCTGGACTCCTATGACTCTCCCAACTCCTGTATCTAAAATATCTGCCAATCCTGTAGATTTCAGGTCCTTAACATGGCTCTGATTTTGCTTCTCGTGTTTTTGCTGTCTTCTCTTCATCATGGAGGCCTTTATCTCTTACAAGGGTGACTGCATTAGCTTCCCAGCTCACTTTTGTGTCTGCTCAAATCGCTCCTCCTCTCAACTTTTTCAAAATGCATATCTGACTGGAGACTCTGTTTAAAAGCTCCCTGTGGCTCCTGTTTACTTTTTTTTTTTTTTTTTT